AAAAGGGGCGTGGCCATGCGGGCGTGGCGGAGGCGGGGCGAAAAGGGCGTGGTCAAGCAAGCGTATTAGGGGCGGGGCGACGAAGGCGTGGCCTGTAGGCGCGGGGGTGGTAGCGGAGCGATGAGGGCTGAATAAATTTCTGAATGAATTTTTCTAGAATTAAAACGACCAGAAAAGAAAGAGATAAAAGGACAAAAACAAAATAAAAGTTAAAATTGCAAAGGCTATTGAAAGTTTTATGATCAATAATTTTTTTTTAAATGGAATTTCCGTATGGTATTTCATTGAATTTTTATGTCTTTTTTTCTTGCTTAACAAAAAAAAAAAAAATGAGAACAAAAAATATGATAGGAAAGAAAAAGAAAAAAAAAAACCTAAAATTAAAAAAAAAAAAATCATGTTTGCTATCTGTTTTGATGATAATAAATTGAATAACTCAGTGATTAAATTAAATTATGAAATAATTTTTATTTTTTAGTTGCAATATAATATAGAATAAAAGAATCAATTAAACTATTTAGTACCTAAATTAGATTAGTTAAAAAAATCAGCGAAACAAAAAATATTCATTTAAAAATGATGAAATTAATGAAATTGAAAAATATTTTTTTTTTTTAAGAAAAACTAATTTTCTTTTAAAGTTTCAAAGAATTTGGTAAATATTGTTACTGTTATTGTTATTATTGCTACCTTTCAAATTTAACTACTAATATATGTCATACCTTTTTTTTTCTTTTTTTTTTTTCAAAATTTGTCTACTTAAATTACTATACTTTTTTTTTTGGTGATATTTAAATGGTTATGCTTTATTTAAATTTATTCTAGCATGTGGAATTCTAGCATGTTTAAGGACATCTATTTGCTAATATTTAATTTAGAATATTTGGAATGTAATATTGTTTATCTTGCATTGTATAATAGCTCAAATATTTTAGAAAAAGTAATAAAGTAAAAAATTAGTAAAAAAAAAAGTAAAAAATTATGTTACTTATAAATTTAGTCATTGCTATTTTCAATTATTAGCAATATTTGATTCTTGAATTTGCAATTCAATTTTAAGTAATCGAATATTAGCTCATATTTCAGATAATATATGCTAATCAATGGCAATCAATGCAACTAATAAATGATCAAAAAGCAATTCATTTTCGTCCTTTTTTTTTCTTTACATTTAGGAAAATTATCATTGAATAATAATCAGTTCAAAAAAAAAAAAGCATTGATCATAGCTAATTGATCAAAATAACTGCAATCATTTAGAATCAAATCACGATCATTTTAGACAAATCAAAAAATGATTGTTTTAACTATCCAATAAAGCTAATAACAATTTTGTGGACAAATGTTCAATTATTTGACAAAATTTTCTTTGTCGCAAAAAAAAAAAAAAAAAAAAAAAACTAATCATAAAATAACAATTGAACACTGAAAATAAATTGATAATTAATAATAATAATTAAATTTTTCTTATAAAATTCCTCGAGTATGAAATAACAAATTTTGTCACTTATTTTTTTTTAAATCCTGAAATTGGTAATAGTTGTAGTTCCTTCAAAATTTGAGAAATTTTGAAAAAGCAAAGATTATTTGTTATAAAAATGAGCAAATTTCAAAACATATTTATAATTAATTTCAGGATAAAAATCCTATCAAGAATTTACATGTGGTTTGAATTTATAATCTTTTCAATTTTAATACCAATAATTTTTGAAATAGTTTTTAATATTACTTTAATTAAAAAAAAATTTATTAAGTATTACTTTAATCAAAATCAAAAAATTGATTATATATTACTTTAATTTATTATATATTACTTTAATCAAAATCAAAAAGTTTAGCAATTAAGCTTACATATTACCTTCATGCTGAAAGCTAAATGATTGCAAAATTTCAAATTTAACATTTTCTTACACCTATTTTTATTTTAAAATAACTTAAAATTTTTGTTTTGCTAGATTTTTGTAGCTTAATTTAATTAAATAAGCTTTACCGATTGATATATTTCTCGAGAAAAATTTTTATAATTTTTGCAATCTGATATAAAAATTTGACTTTAGTGATAAATTTATAATTGATATAAACTGTTATCATATCTCTACTAGCCAAGCCAATAAGTGTTAAATTTTTCATCTAATGTTACCTAAGTTTCAAAAGCAGAATTTTATATTTATATTTTTAGCTTAAATTATATTTTTGTCAAATTAATTTTTTCATTTAATTAAGAAAAGTTTATTATTTAAAAAATTCCATTCAGTTTTAATAGTTTCAAATAATTACAGCTATCAGTTTTACGTAATTTATGCATATTTTAACAATTTCAGCAGTTTTATGCTTATATTTGAATTTATAATTTTAATTTTGCGCTCAAATCTTTTTTAGAATAATTGATTCGTGATAATATGAAGTTATTATCAGAACTATATTTGATAACTTTTAAAAATAACTAATTAATTGATAACTAGTAAAACTGCTATAGAATCCTAATTATTATTGATTAAATCTATTAGATTCAAAACATTTGCTGTTAAACTGAATGAAATTATGAGAAATTTAATATAATTTTTTTTTTTTTTTGCTCATTAAATCATTAAATGATCAATGCCGCATTCTTTAAAAGCATTAATTGATTCAACTGATTTAATCAATATTATCAAATCAGTGTAAATAATTTACCAATATTATCATATCACAATATCAATGTAATTTAAGTAGATTAAGGATATTAAATGTTAAATTATTTTTATAATATCAATATTCTATCAGTTATAATCAGTGTGACATTTTTGTGACAATTTCTCCTTTCCTAAATTCATTTGCATTCAAATGAAAGCACTTTTAATGATTTGTTAATTTATCAATTTTTTTTTCTTAAACGCTCTTACGCTGATCACACAGCTAATTGATAAATAACACATTTCAATTGTTTAGCTGATAAGATATATCAAAATGAACTTTTATAAGATTGATCTGAACATCTTAGCTAAATCATTCATTTATTTTCAAATTAATTTTTATTATCATAAACAACCAACAATTTAATTCTATTAATTTCATTCTTTGTCTTTCACAGTTTTTTTTTCCTAAAATTTAATCATTTCCCATCCATTAAATCAATTAATCTATTTGATAATAATAAATCAATCTTATGTGCAACAAATAATTCTTTTTTTTTTTTTTATCTCATAAATCGATTTGAAAATTGATTTATTATTATCAGTGTGTTTCAATCAGTTACAAAAGTGACAAAAATATTCACAAACATTTCAAATTTTTCCGACTTAAAATTTTCAAAATAATTTTTATCACTTGTGCTTAACTTTCAAAAAAAAATAAATTTTTTTGAAAAAAGAAAGAAAAGAAGAAGATGTATAATTGTATTATAATGTAATTTCAAAAATTATCCTATTATAATGAAAAAATCAAATGAAATAATATATCATTGACATATAAATAGCAAACAAAATTAATTATCATATTAAATTAAAATTTGAAATTAGGAAAAAGAGAACAATTCATTTTATTAGTTATGTCACATTACTTTTATACAATTATTTCAATCAATACAAAAGTTTTTTTTTTTAGTTTGATTCCATTTCAATCAACATATATAATAGTTTGATTCCATTTCAACATATATCATATTCGATACATTTATTTATTTTATAATTATTATACTTCCCAGAACAATTTTCCCAAAAAAACTTCAGCTAGAAAATCAAAATTTATTACTTTTTCTAAAATATTTGAGCTATTATACAAGATAAACAATATTACATTCCAAATATTCTAAATTAAATAATACCAAATAGATATCCTTAAACATGCTAGAATTCCACATGCTAGAATAAATTTAAATAAAGCATAACCATTTAAATATCACCAAAAAAAAAAAAGTATAGTAATTTAAGTAGACAAATTTTGAAAAAAAAGAAAAAAAAAGGTATGACATATATTAGTAGTTAAATTTGAAAGGTAGCAATAATAACAATAACAGTAACAATATTTACCAAATTCTTTGAAACTTTAAAAGAAAATTAGTTTTTCTTAAAAAAGAAAAAATATTTTTTCAATTTCATTAATTTTATTACTTTTTCTAAAATATTTGAGCTATTATACAAGATAAACAATATTACATTCCAAATATTCTAAATTAAATAATACCAAATAAATATCCTTAAACATGCTAGAATTCCACATGCTAGAATAAATTTAAATAAAGCATAACCATTTAAATATCACCAAAAAAAAAAAGTATAGTAATTTAAGTAGACAAATTTTGAAAAAAAAGAAAAAAAGGTATGACATATATTAGTAGTTAAATTTGAAAGGTAGCAATAATAACAATAACAGTAACAATATTTACCAAATTCTTGAAACTTTAAAAGAAAATTAGTTTTTCTTAAAAAGAAAAATATTTTTTCAATTTCATTAATTTCATCATTTTTAAATGAATATTTTTTGTTTCGCTGATTTTTTTTAACTAATCTAATTTAGGTACTAAATAGTTTAATTGATTCTTTTATTCTATATTATATTGCAACTAAAACAATAAAAAATTATTTCATAATTTAATTTAATCACTGAGTTATTCAATTTATTATCATCAAAACAGATAGCAAACATGATTTTTTTTTTTTTTTGTAATTTTAGGTTTTTTTTCTTTTCTTTCCTATCATATTTTTTGTTCTCATTTTTTTTTTTTTTTTTGTTAGCAAGAAAAAAAGACATAAAAATTCAATGAAATACCATACGGAAATTACATTTAAAAAAATTATTGATCATAAAACTTTCAATAGCCTTTGCAATTTTAACTTTTTATTTTGTTTTTGTCCTTTTATCTCTTTCTTTTCTGGTCGTTTTAATTCTAGAAAATTCATTCAGAAATTTATTCAGCCCTCATCGCCCGCTACCACCCCCGCGCCTACAGGCCACGCCTTCGTCGCCCCGCCCCTAATACGCTTGCTTGACCACGCCCTTTTCGCCCCGCCTGCCACGCCCGCATGGCCACGCCCTTTTCGTCCGCCGCCATTACTGCACCTCTTATCACTGTACTCTATCACTGTACCTTTATCGCTGTACCTCTTATCACTGTACCTCTTATCACTGCACCTCTTATCACTGTACCTCTTATCACTGTATTCTTATCACTGTACCTCTTATCACTGCATTCTTATCACTGTACTCTTTCACTGCATCCCTATCACTGTACCTATCACTGTACTTTATCACTGTATTCTTATCACTGTACCTTCTTATCACTGTACCTTATCACTGCACTTTATCACTGTAATTTATCACTGCACCTCTTATCACTGCACCCTAATCACTGTACTTATCACTGTACCTCTTATCACTGTACCTCTTATCACTGTACCTTTATCACTGTACCTCTATCACCGTACCTCTTGGTACCGCACCTTGGTACCGTACCTCTTGTTACCGCATTTTTTGTACCGTACCTTTTGGTACGCCTATGGTACCGTACTTTAAATATTGCTTTTATTCAGTATTTTCATCACCGTACCTTCTGGTACCGTAATCGTGGCCTTTTGGTACCGTATGAAATGCACCTCTTGTTACCGCACTCTTAGTCGTACTTTGTTACCGCACTTTTTGCGTTTTCGTACCGTACTCCTTTTATATCGCCTTTGGTACCGTACCTCTATTTCTGTAATTTGATCGTATTTTTGTTAGTGATTTTTTGTTACCGCTTTTATAATAAAATTTTCTTGGTACCGTAGGCCGGTTCTTTGGTGTCATTTTTATCACCGTACCTTCTTATACCGTAATTCTATCACGTAATTTAGGCTGAAGGCTGTGCTCTCTGTTACCGTACCTTTAGGTACCGTACCTTCTGGTATCGTACCTTTATTGTACCTTTTGGTACCGTACCTTTTATCACCACTGTGGTACCGTATCTTTATACTGTATGCAGGTTACCTTTGTTACCGTACTTTTATCACTGTACCTCTTGGTACCGTACTCTTATCACCGTTTTAACAAAGGATATGGTACCAAAAGGCGCGGTAACAATGTGTTCGGTACCTCAAGAGGTACGGTAACAAGAGGTACAATAACAAAAAGTACGGTACCAAGAGGTACAGTGATAAGAGGTACGGTACCAAGAGATATTGTGATAAAAAGTACGGTAACAAGAAGTACCGTAGCTCTTGGTACATTAACAAAAGATACCGTACCAAAAGATAATAACAAAATTACGGTACCAAGAGGTACGGTGATAAAGGTACGGTACCAAGAGGTACCGTAATAAAAGATACGGTACCACGAGGTACGCAACAAAAGTACGGTACCAAGAGGTACGGTAACAAGAGGTACAATAAGAAAAAGTACGGTACGAAGAGGTACAGTAGATAAGAGGTACCGTACCAAGAGATACAGTGATAAAAAGTACTGTAACAATCTTGGTACCGTACCAAGAGGTACAGTGATAAAAAGTACGGTAACAATTGTTACCGTACCTCTTGGTACAGTAACTTTTGATACCGTACCTCGTGGTACAATAACTTTTAGTACGGTAATTTTAATAAGTAGAATTATAAACCGTAACTCTTGGTACATTAACTTTTGATATTGTACTTTTGGTACCGTATCTTTTATTAATGTACCAAGAGGTACACGGTGATAAAGGTACGGTACCAAGAGGTTCGGTGATAAAAGGTACGGCAATTATGAGGTACCGTACCTTTTGGTACGGTACCTCGAGGTACCGTACCTTTAGTACCGTACCAAGAGGTACGGTGATAAAAGGTACGGTACCAAGAGGTACGGTACTAAAAGTTACGGTAACAAGAGGTACAATATCAAAAGTACGGTACCAAGAGGTACAGTGATAAGAGGTACCGTAATAAAAGATACGGTACCACGAGGTACAGTAACAAAAAAGTACGGTACCAATAAGAGGTACAGTGATAAAAAGTACGGTTACAAGAGGTACGGTGATAAAGGTACGGTACCAAGAGGTACGGTACCAAAAGGTACGGTAACAGAGGTACGGTACCAAGAGGTACGGTAACAAGAGGTACAATAACAAAAGTACGGTACCAAAAGGTACAGTGATAAGAGGTACGGTACCAAGAGGTACGGTGATAAAAGGTACGGTAACAAGAGGTACAATAACAAAAGTACGGTACCATATAAGGTACGGTACCAAAAGGTGCGGTAACAAGAGGTTCGGTACCAAGAGGTACGGTAACAAGAGGTACAATAACAAAAGTACGATACCAAAAGGTACAGTGATAAGAGGTACGGTACCAAGAGGTACAGTGATAAAAGGTACGGTAACAAGAGGTACATAACAAAAGATACGGTACCAAAAGGTACAATAACAAAATACGGTATAAGAGGTACAGTGATAAAAGGTACGGTACCAAGAGGTACGTACCAAAAGGTACGGTAACAAGAGGTACAGTGATAAAAGGTACGGTACCAAGAGGTACAGTGATAAGAGGTACAGTGATAAGAGGTACGTGATAAAGGGTACGGTATAAGAAATACGGTACCAAAAGGTGCGGTAACAAGAGGTAATATACCAAAAGGTGTGGTGATAAGAGGTACGGCATAAAAGGTGTGGTACCATAAGGTACGGTACCAAGAGGTATTTGGTACTAAAAGGTGTGGGTGAGGTACGGTATAAAGGTGCGGTATAAGAGGTACGGTGATAAGAGGTACAGTGATAAGAGGTACAGTGATAAGAGGTACAGTGATTAGAGGTGCAGTGATAAAAGGTACAGTGATAAGAGGTGCAGTGATAAAAGGTACAGTGGCCAGTGATAAGAGGTTCAGTGATAAGAGGTGCAGTGATAAGAGGTGCAGTGATAAGAGGTACAGTGATAAGAGGTACAGTGATAAGAGGTACAGTGAGGTACAGTGATAAGAGGTACAGTGATAAGAGGTACGGTACCAAGAGATACAGTGATAAAAGTACGGTAACAAGAGGTACGGTACCAAGAGGTACAGTAATAAAAGATACGGTACCATGAGGTACAATAACAAAAATTTTTTGTACCAAGAAGTAGAATAATAAAAGGTGCGGTAACAAGAGGTAAATTAAAAAAGATAAGGTACTAAAAGATAAACAAAAAAATTAAAAAACCAAGATTACATTGATAAAAGGTACGGTACTGCGAGGTTAATTGGTGATAAAAGGTACGGTAATTAAGAGGTAAATTACCAAAAGGTACAGTAATAAGAGTTACGGTACCAAGAGATAAAGTGATAAAAAAAAATGGTAACAAGAGGTAGTTAAAAAGATACGGAACCAAAAGATATTCAATTAAAAATTTGGTATTAAGAGATTAGGTAAAAAATTTTCGAAACAAAAGAAAGGTACGGTACCAAAGATTTGGTAACAAGAGGCAATAATAACAAATGTACGGTTCAAAGAGGTACATATAAGATTACTTTACCAAGATTTTTGGTGATAAAGGGTACGGCACCAAGAGGTACGGTACTTTTTTTTTTGGTATATAAATGGTACTTTATTAAAATTTGCGGTAACAAGAAATGGTACATTAAAAGGTACGGTACTAATAGGCAGTAATATAATAGGTACGGTACCAAGTATACTGGTGATAAAAGGTACGGTAAAAAAAAGTAAAAAAAAAAGTAATTATTACCATAAGGTACGCTAGCAATAGATACGTTTGCAAAATTTTAAGTAACCAATTAGGTACGATAGATATATGCTAATCAATGGCAATCAATGCAACTAATAAATGATCAAAAAGCAATTCATTTTCGTCCTTTTTTTTTCTTTACATTTAGGAAAATTATCATTGAATAATAATCAGTTCAAAAAAAAAAAAAGCATTGATCATAGCTAATTGATCAAAATAACTGCAATCATTTAGAATCAAATCACGATCATTTTAGACAAATCAAAAAATGATTGTTTTAACTATCCAATAAAGCTAATAACAATTTTGTGGACAAATGTTCAATTATTTGACAAAATTCTTTGTCGAAAAAAAAAAACTAATCATAAAATAACAATTGAACACTGAAAATAAATTGATAATTAATAATAATAATTAAATTTTTTTTATAAAATTCCTCGAGTATGAAATAACAAATTTTGTTACTCATTTTTTTTTTTTAAATCCTGAAATTGGTAATAGTTGTAGTTCCTTCAAAATTTGAGAAATTTTGAAAAAGCAAAGATTATTTGTTATAAAATGAGCAAATTTCAAAACATATTTATAATTAATTTCAGGATAAAAATCCTATCAAGAATTTACATGTGGTTTGAATTTATAATCTTTTCAATTTTAATACCAATAATTTTTGAAATAGTTTTTAATATTACTTTAATTAAAAAAATTTATTAAGTATTACTTTAATCAAAATCAAAAAATTGATTATATATTACTTTAATTTATTATATATTACTTTAATCAAAATCAAAAAGTTTAGCAATTAACACATATTACCTTCATGCTGAAAGCTAAATGATTGCAAAATTTCAAATTTAACATTTTCTTGCACCTATTTTTATTTTAAAATAACTTAAAATTTTTGTTTTGCTAGATTTTTGTAGCTTAATTTAATTAAATAAGCTTTACCGATTGATATATTTCTCGAGAAAATTTTTATAATTTTTGCAATCTGATATAAAAATTTGACTTTAGTGATAAATTTATAATTGATATAAACTGTTATCATATCTCTACTAGCCAAGCCAATAAGTGTTAAATTTTCATCTAATGTTACCTAAGTTTCAAAAGCAGAATTTTATATTTATATTTTTAGCTTAAATTATATTTTTGTCAAATTAATTTTTTCATTTAATTAAGAAAAGTTTATTATTTAAAAATTCCATTCAGTTTTAATAGTTTCAAATAATTACAGCTATCAGTTTTACGTAATTTATGCATATTTTAACAATTTCAGCAGTTTTATGCTTATATTTGAATTTATAATTTTAATTTTGCGCTCAAATCTTTTTTAGAATAATTGATTCGTGATAATATGAAGTTATTATCAGAACTATATTTGATAACTTTTAAAAATAACTAATTAATTGATAACTAGTAAAACTGCTATAGAATCCTAATTATTATTGATTAAATCTATTAGATTCAAAACATTTGCTGTTAAACTGAATGAAATTATGAGAAATTTAATATAATTTTTTTTTTTTTTTTTGCTCATTAAATCATTAAATGATCAATGCCGCATTCTTTAAAAGCATTAATTGATTCAACTGATTTAATCAATATTATCAAATCAGTGTAAATAATTTACCAATATTATCATATCACAATATCAATGTAATTTAAGTAGATTAAGGATATTAAATGTTAAATTATTTTTATAATATCAATATTCTATCAGTTATAATCAGTGTGACATTTTTGTGACAATTTCTCCTTTCCTAAATTCATTTGCATTCAAATGAAAGCACTTTTAATGATTTGTTAATTTATCAATTTTTTTTTCTTAAACGCTCTTACGCTGATCACACAGCTAATTGATAAATAACACATTTCAATTGTTTAGCTGATAAGATATATCAAAATGAACTTTTATAAGATTGATCTGAACATCTTAGCTAAATCATTCATTTATTTTCAAATTAATTTTTATTATCATAAACAACCAACAATTTAATTCTATTAATTTCATTCTTTGTCTTTCACAGTTTTTTTTCCTAAAATTTAATCATTTCCCATCCATTAAATCAATTAATCTATTTGATAATAATAAATCAATCTTATGTGCAACAAATAATTCTTTTTTTTTTTTATCTCATAAATCGATTTGAAAATTGATTTATTATTATCAGTGTGTTTCAATCAGTTACAAAAGTGACAAAAATATTCACAAACATTTCAAATTTTTCCGACTTAAAATTTTCAAAATAATTTTTATCACTTGTGCTTAATTTAAAAAAAAAAAAAAAAAACTTATTTTCTTACATATTTTATCAATTCATAAAATTTCAAATTTTCATAAGAACTTTTTTTTTTTGAAAAAGAAAGAAAGAAGATGTATAACTGTATTATAATGTAATTTCATATCACAAAATTATCCTATTATAATGAAAATCAAATGAAATAATATATCATTGACATATAAATAGCAAACAAAATTAATTATCATATTAAATTAAAATTTGAAATTAGGAAAGAGAACAATTCATTTTATTAGTTATGTCACATTACTTTTATACAATTATTTCAATCAATACAAAAGTTTTTTTTTAGTTTGATTCCATTTCAATCAACATATATAATAGTTTGATTCCATTTCAACATATATCATATTCGATACATTTATTTATTTTATAATTATTATACTTCCCAGAACAATTTTCCCAAAACTTCAGCTAGAAAATCAAAATTTATTACTTTTCTAAAATATTTGAGCTATTATACAAGATAAACAATATTACATTCCAAATATTCTAAATTAAATAATACCAAATAGATATCCTTAAACATGCTAGAATTCCACATGCTAGAATAAATTTAAATAAAGCATAACCATTTAAATATCACCAAAAAAAAGTATAGTAATTTAAGTAGACAAATTTTGAAAAAAAAAAAAGAAAAAAGGTA